ATTAAAAAAAATCACAAAACAGATACGAGTGCTTAAGCATATCACTATCAAGCACTATCAAATGGATATGGGAAGATTATTATAGTGCACACCGCTAAGAAATAGAGTATCTTTGGCAGATTTTAATGGGTCAAATTAAAAAATAGAAGAAAATTCCCTGTCCCTCACCCACCCATCAGTAGGTACGTCCCCAAAAGAAAGGATTTACAGTAACTTATAGTTATATATAAGATACTAATTACTATTACTATAAATTGTTAAAATACAAACTGGATATTAAAGAATGAAGAAGTTGTGAACCTGTTGAAAATTTGAAGATTGAAGAATGAAGGTCAAAAATGAGGAAACTAGTAGTCACACTAGAGAGTCGTCGGCGTCGAGGTCGTGAAGTCGCCGTGGTGATTTGTTCTTCACTCGCAGTCGCCGCAGCCGGTCTGTACTCTATTCTTCACTTCTTTGTTTGAGAAGAGAAAGCTAATTCTAACTTAGAAACAAAGGAAAGTAACTAAGAGAGTAAGGGACTTGGGCTTAGTCTTATTGGGCCTAGAAATAGAAACTTGGGTTAGGCTAGGGCAGTGTAGGTAGGATTATGATAGGAAATACATAAATAATTCGGTACTTCGGTATTTCGGTATACCGAAATATCAAAAACTTAATACCGAGAACCGTACCGTTATATCGAATAACCGAAAATTTAATACCGAATCATACCGAAATACCAAAAAAATCGAAACCGAAATATTGAATTAATTCGGTCCGATTCGGAATTTGGTTTTTCGAATTTTATGCCCACACCTACCCACTGGTCCAAACCTTCAACCCGTAGTGGAACCCACCGAGTTGCTAAAACAAGTAAAAAAAAGAATCAGTGACAGCGTGGGATGATCTTTAACTAGAAGAAAGGGATAAAAGATGGACTTACGAGCACGGTTCCACAACTCCAGAAAGGACGACGTCGTAGCCGGAATGATGTCCTTGGTGGTAACTGCAATGACCTGTTCCATCCATTCACGGACGTTGTCATCATCCATGCTGGCCAATAGGGCATGGTGGCCACGCTTGCTGAAATTTATCATTCCCCCGCGGAAAATTTTGGGGGAATAAAGATTCATTAACCTAGCTAGGTTAAGATCCTCTCCTGTCTCCTGGCACAAACGCTGAAGATAAGCGACTGTCCTCTACAGATAAGGAATTACCTGTGTCGGGCACACTAGGTAGCGGATGCAAAATTCCACAATAACGGAATCAAGATCCCCGCTCAAAGAGAATGAACCTAAGGTGAAGGTATACGTATAAACATACGTGAAATCCTTCTTGGGGAGAGTTATTCCCTCTACCAGATCAGGAGCAATAATGTCTAAATCTTGTCAATTGAAGTCTTCTTTCATAGTGGGAATGCTGGAAGGACGGGTGGAAGAAGGGGATATGCCAACAACCCACGTACGAGGGTTAGCAAAAGAAAACTTCTCTTCAAAATCTTTGGTTGTGACAAGACTCTTCAGGGTGATAGTGCTTACCGTAGGAGGAACGACGTCATCAGCTTTACCTTTACTCTTTGAAGAACTAGGGTTGCTGGAAGAAGAGGCCATTTTTTATCAAAAAAGAGGGAAGTTTTTCTCTCAAGAAGAAGGTTAAAGAAAGGTTGAAGACAAAGTACGAGTTGAGTAAAGAGAGTTTGGGGAAGTGTAGAGAATTATAAAGTGTAAATGAAGAAGTTTGATGCGTATAAGTAAAGGTATATGCGGCTAAAATCGTGGCCATAATTACCTCGATAATAGGCAAAAGTAATGCTAAATCGTAGGATGACGCATGTTCGGGGCATTAAATACGGAGAGACGTCCGTCTAATCAACCGTCAGAAACTTTTCAGAGGGGATCAGAGAATTTTTCTCCGAAAAAAGTATTTCTATCAATTTTCCGGCGACACAAAGTTATGCCACCGGAAAGTAGGGGGACTATCTGTATGGGGTAAAATATGTTCATATTTAATGATCACATGAGAAAGAGATACGTGGAACCGAAGGCAGGAGATAGCTAAACCCGAATGCAATGATCTTGCTTGTCACCGGAGAGAATGATACTCATAACGACAAAACAAATGCCGCCATCCGGTAGCATTCAATGAAGAATATTCTACAGCATTAAGTGCATGATCCGTTATAGAGAATATGACATTCACTGCCCGCAATTACATACTCTTCAGTGGCCCTTATAATTGTCATTAAAGATGAGCTTAATCCTAGGATCTTGTTCCCTAGGTGCAGCTATAAATAGTGAGCTCTATCATCATTGTAAAGGATACGAATTTTGTGACAAGCATATACTATATTTTATCAAAAGCTCAATAATATTTTACTTTCTTACTTATTTGTATTGTTCTTACTGCTCCCGGTAGCTCTGTGCCCGGAACCAAGATATATGCCGTCTATTTCGATTTTAAGGCTAAGTCTTATATTTTTGTCTGATCCATCTATCGTTTTTTGGGATCAAATTAATTCACTTATTTATAAACCATGTATAAATTCAGCTGTACCGTTTTACGGGTAAATAAATTTATCTACTTTAATTACGGCCAATCAACTTTTGCCCCTTATATCTATCAAAGAGAAAAAGAATTGTATATAAAGGATTGAAGTGTAAGATTTAGATGATCAATGTTGTTATTTGAGATAGTTCAACATATGTATACATCCTTTTCTCATAATCAATATAATATGAGATAGTTTAATAGGTAATCATCCTCCCCTTCTTTTGCTATGTCCATTAATCCAATACATGTTTAATGTAAAATACTTACGCATAATTTAACTTTTTTTATAATATAATCATAATTTACAACGTATAGAACTTGAACCACAACTAAATAAATGGATCAGCACAACAGGGGCAGGCGCGGTTTACAAGTATTGTTATAATAAAGGAGCTTTTTCAGTCAGGTGGCAAGTGTAACATCCTCGCGTAATCTCCAACCCAGTCCTCCAATCGCATCAAACTTCTCTTCATCGACAGAAAAAACATTCGAAGAAACGTAGTGGAAAAAAACAGAACCAAGGGCTATTTTATAAATTACTAACAGTATTGAAGCATACAGTTTTTTCACACTATCTTGATTTTTCTTGTTCTACCTTCAACATCTGATCCATTCAAAATCGAACCCTAACAATTAACTTAACCGTGTCAGATTATCGAATTAGTAGTTGGTAAACAGATTAAAAATTTATCGGTTTGGAAGCGAATTACTCAATTTTCTTATCGAATAAATCGATAACCCGTTAAGAATTGGAATACTATATTTATAATTTTACCAATTATGAAGCAACTTCTTAGTAGCTTGAACTTCAATATTATTATAACTTATTTTCGGGGTAGGACTACGCAGATCTAGATAGTTTTTGATACCTTTTCTGCTCAAATGAATTATTTAACTTGGTAACTAAAACAAAATTATATCCAGAATTTATGTTAATTGAACCTTTATTACTGGTTAAGGATCCTCAATTTATATTTTAGCTTGCTTATTGTAAAAGAATTAAAAAAAAGAAGAAACTGTCATTAACAATGAAAGCTTGGTTAGCCTACTAGAGTGTGATTGTGATTGGATTGTCTATCTAATATTTACTACCTTGCTTACTTATGTGATTTTTGTAGTCTACTTGATTTAGTCTATAAATCACCTTATAACCGTCCGATAACCGCTAATTCGATACCGATCCGCCCGATATCTTATCGAATGATTAACGAATTAGTATATTTATAAGCCGATAACCGAAAGGCGAATCGTTAGCGGTCCAATCCGCCCGAATAAGCAGCTCTGCATCTGATCCACTTGAAAACCTCCGCTCGAATAAGCAGCCCTGCATCTGATCCATTTGAAAACCACAATTTCAAACTCTTGCTTCTTCGGTTTCATTAACATCTCACTCTTTAATCTAATATCGAAAGGATGCACACTTTTCTTGTTTATAAATTCTTTCATATTGCCTTTAATGTTACTTTCCTACAAAATGACATGATACGTTTAAGGATTATAAGTATCCTTGGTATTATATATACGCATGTACACATTAAAGTTTACTGATAGAGAATAATGGTAACCTTAAAAGTGAATAAATTAATTAATGTACTAAAACTAGTGAAAATTAGTTAATGTAACCACTAATTGAATCTGTTTTTCAATTGGCAAAGACTAAGGGCCCGTTTAGCCATAAAAAAATTCACCTTTTTTTAGTAAATTTTTTATTTTTTTCGAAATCAGTATTTGACCATGAATTTTTTAATTTTTACTTAAAGATGAATTTCGAAATTTTTTAAAAATTTAAAAAATTTCAAATAGCTATTTTTCAAAATTCACTTCAGATCAATCACAAAAATTTTAAAACAATCCAAAATTATATTAATGTTCAATAATAACTCTAATTTTTAAATATTATTTTTATTTAATTTTTTTTTTTGAAATTTTATAATTCTTATGTCCAAACGTCCACTATACGAAGAGCAACAAATTCCTGATAGGTGTAGGCATGCATGAGATCCACGTCCACACGCGTTGTCCTACAAAAGGCCTTTTTTTTCCCTTCGGTGCAATGAGATGAGAGCCCACCGCCTGATTGGTAGCTGCTCACTGCACCCTCTGCTGCCTCCTTATCCTCTTTCTCTCATCCGTTATACCTTTTTATTACTACATGAATCCATCCTTAAAAAAATGAACAAAAGTGAATAGATACATGAATCTAATGGGGTAAATGGTAATCAATGAAAATTTCAAAAAGGTGTCATTTCTCTTCTGAAACCGAAGGAGAAGAATAGGTGAAAGGCTTAGGGTATGATAAGTGTAAAGCATGCATGCAAGTTCAAAACCCTCTTGTAATCCCACATGTCCCTTTTCTTTATGTTCCTCAAACACGTACCCACCGTACGTTTCCAAGTGTCACTTCTTTCTTTTCTCTTCCTTCATGTTTTGCCCTCTTCTCATTGGCTTATATCACCCTCTTATACCTCAAACCTCAATCCCACAAACTTCCCCTTACCTTCTCTCTTCTCTGTTTCTGCATTTTGGGATTGTTTGTTAAGAGGAAGTTTTGAATTTCTCCTTCTACCAAAATGATGCAGACTTTGAATCCTTACCCTTCAACCTCAAAAACAGCTGAGATCATGGCTAGATACAGGCCTATAGCACCAAAGCCAGAGGTTCCAACAAGTCCTGTTTCTGAAAATAATCCTAGTGGCTTGCCAGCAAATATTAACAAATCTCCTTTCTTGAGGAATGTATGGCCTCAGTTGCAAGCAAGGCCTACAAGAACTAGGAAGAGAGGAAGAACTGCCCTTGGTCCACCTACTATGAAAAGAGCCAGAACTAATTACCTTCCTGCAGTCCAATTTCCTCATTATCAGGTAATGGCTGCTTCACCTGCTCATAGACCAAATGCGGTTCCCCACTTCTCTATAATCCCAAATCTTGTCCCTCTTAAATGTGGCTTGGGTACCCCTGTCACAACTCCAGCAAATTCAATAGCACTCCCTCTTCTTTCTTGTACTACGATAAATCTTCCTATGCTAGTTACTGAGAAAAGCTCTGGAGAGGAAATTAGAGGGATAGATTTGAACTTGGCAGCTGATGTTCCTGAAGAATTAGATTTCATGCCACAGTTAATGCAAGGATCCACTAGTCCTAAGAGCCGTGGCGTCATTACTCCACGGCCAGTGCGTCCAGTTGGGTCAAGTATTTCAATTGGGTGTATCAATGAGGAGGCTCCAGATGGTGGAACTAACAAGAAATGTATGAAAAAGCCAGAGGAAGTGGAGGAAGAAGTTGAAGCAGAGGCCTTACCAGCTGTTATATCAGACTCGAATAACAAAGTAAGGCTAACAAATTCAGCATACAAAGAAATGGTGGGTCAACCTGAATGTTGTTGGCTGGACTACATGCGTGGCAATGCATGCAAGAGAATTGGTGGGGAAGTGATGCTTGAGTTCTTGGATTCAAAAAGTGTGCCAATGTCATCTGATGGATTTACTTGTTGGGTGAAGATAGAATGGGGAGCTGACAAAGGGAAAAAGAATTCTGTTAAAGCTTTTTGCAATGCTGTGAGGTTAGCTTGTCAGTCCAAGGATTATCTCTTTGAGTGGAGGTTTCATACCACAGATGATGATGCTCCTGAATCTGCTTCCAGTATCTAAACAGTTTTCCAAGTGTAAATATAGGTAACTCGTTTAATGTTGTAGAGTAAACCTTATGCCATATAGTAGCAGTGTATAAAGAGTAGCAAAATGAGTGTTAGTTAATTATGTTTGATAGTTGTTTCCAGCTTTAAGTGCGACATGCGAAATTGTATATCTGCAATGACCCTACGAGTACAAAGCTATATGCCAATGTCAAGTTTATAAGCTACCATTTCTCTATATATTCCCAAATTTATTCTGAAAAATCTGATTTGGATGGGTGAAGTTTGATTCAAACATGAAAATATGTTTGAACATGAAAATGTGTTTGAACATATGTTTTGGGTGAAGTTTGGTTTGGAAAAATATGAAACATAACTTATACTAACAAGTTCTAAAAACTATCATAAATACCCAACTGTACTATTATCAATAACATTCATTATATTATCGCAAATTATAGTTCTGAACATAAAAAAAATTGATATAAAATTATCATTTTTATAATGAACTACATGATACACTATCAGATGACCGATACACTATCAGATGACCGAGAAGACGAAGCAACATCGTTACAAAATAATAAATGGTGAGCTCTTTTATAAAATACAAACGTTTGGAGTAATTTTAAAAAAATATAATAGTGATATTTTGGCTCAAAATTAACTATTGAGCTGGTTTTGAGATTTAAAATTTAGCTAAAATATAGATAAAATTTATGACCAAAATCAAGTTTATTTTGGCAAAATCTATGGCCTAACTCGCTAGTTTTCTTCTTTTGGTTCTCTACATTTTTACTAGTTCAACGCACAAGAAACAAAAGGGACGACAGCCTACGTCCTAGTTGGCGAAATGAGTACAAGTTTTAAAAACCTAGCTAACTAACGTAATACACTTTTGTCTATTGGACCATGATATTTCGATAGGAAACGAAGTAATTGGCTGAATACGTGTTACAATTCCAATGATAAAAGAATTTCCACCTGTCAGTAGTGGCAACTCTTGTAGGCAGCGCAGCAGTGTGGAAATTGAACGTACAAAATATCCATTAGTCTCCCTTGGACTCTGGTGGGGGGCCCTTCCATTTGAAGTTGTCTGCATATGATTTTGTCTGTAGCCAGAAATAAAGTTCATAAATATAAGACTCACTGTGCCCGATAAATAAATGGTTAACTAGGCAACCATGAGACTCCATTTCAAGAAATACCAATTTAAATACATGGTCTTTGAACTGGTCTACATCCCGCAAACGGATAAAATAAAATTAACAAAAGAGAACCAATTAACGGAATGGAAATTTTGGTTGGACCGGCATCTTAAAAAACATGGAATAACATGGAGTAGAGAAAATTCATACCTTCAACAACGGTGTATGAAACTTCTTGACCTACAAATCAAGATTCAAGAGAAAAAGAAGAAATAATACTTCTCTGAACTTCTTTATACAATCAAAAAGATACATACAACACAAGGTAGCTCCCTATAATGAGTCTAATTTGGTATTTAGAAGATAAAGTAACTGACTGAGATAACATATTAAAATGTAATGACATAGTAAATTTATTTAACACTTAACAGTGTATATAAGTTAATCCATCTTGAAATACTTAAAAGGTCCTACACAGAAGGTTAAATTGCTGGCAGTGTTGCTGTAACATTAAAAGCAATCAAACAGAATAAGGAGCAGTCCACATTCGAACCTCAAAGATCTCTGAAGGTCATTATCGCGATATTTTATATCCAAAGAAAATGCACTTGGTAAGGTCTTCGAGTGTAGTTGCTTGAATCCCAATCCAATGTCCTGATCCTAACTAGTTAGGAAGTGTCTAACTTGCCAATTAGATAGTGTTATTCCCGTCAATATTGCTGTATATGTAAATAATAATTCTGCAAAATATAAGTTAACGTAATGAAACAATAATAAATTCGAGCCCACTGAATTCACAGTGTTTCCTTAAGGAATTTAATCCCCTCCTAGTACCCCAAGGTAATGGATTATTTTCTCCCAAGATAGAACGAATAACACACTGGTGTAGCGGTACTTCAAACCCCAGTGTTTCAGCGAACACAAAGTTCGGTAGCAAATCACACTTACAGTTGCTTTGTTTGAAGTTAAAAACAATGCANTTTGAAGTTAAAAATAATGCAGAACGAAGGAGTATATACTCAGAAAATCGTATGGAAATGCTGAGAGGAAGGAGTGCAATGTATAGCGAATTGTATGTTGTGTGTTGAGTGTCTTTCTTCAACATCTGCTGCACATATATATAGCAGCAAAATGTTGAAGAAGACCAAACGTTCACCCTCCATGGTGGAGCAAGCATTACATGTTTGTGGAGCAAGCACACATTCATGGTGGGAAGACCATTATCCGGCTGCCAAATGATCAATACACGGATTGAAAAATATCCGTTACAAATACGGATAATCTTACGTTAATATTTACTTTTAACAAATAAATTTGGTCCAAAAAATTAATCAATTAATCGATTAGCCGAAGCCGAGCGAGCGACGACGACGACGGCGCGAGGTTTGCTTTCTTCTTAACTCTTTAAGAGCTACAAGAAGAGCAATTATATATATACCCACCAAAAATGTCTTCCTCTTCCAATATGGGACAATGTCTCATTGTTAAGAGGGGGAAACTTAAAATTTTACTCAAAATTTCATTTTCCCTCCATTTCCCATTCACCCTCATTTTAAGAATATTAATCTTAAAATAATTAAGAATATTCATCTTAAAATAAAACCTCAACAGATAGAATTTGAACTCTCAATCTAGTCAGTTTTGCGTTCCCTTTAGCAACAGTGCTGTATCTTAAAATGAAATGTACTTTGGTTCTTAGTTATTAATTTTCACCTGAGTTTATTCCTAAGTTCAAAGAAGTTTAAAATCTAGTAACTCACTCTCGATAATCCAAAAGTGTTCTTCCATTCATTTTAGAACCTTGATGACTGAAGGATTCTACCGCAATATGTCCTGCTTATAAGGTGAATGTTAAACAAAGCTCTGTACATTAGACTGCTAACAAGACCAACAAAGTTGGCCTTGGAACAAAGTCAAGCTAATGTATCGTGTAGTGACAATTAGTATGAAAAAGATTTGGCGTTCAAGTTCTAGTGAAGCTAACCTCTGTGCAAGTGGCCGGCTCTCTTTCTCCTTCTCTTTTTCTTTTTTAACAAATCTGATCAAGTTTTTCTTTTACCATTGTTTTCCCTTTCATTAATTTAACTAACATCTCAAGATGCAGTCAAACAGATGCTTGACTACTGTAGAATCAGTTAAAAAACTGATATCAGAAATAAAAAAATTATCAGCAAAAACGAAGCAGTTGCTTGATTGCTGCCCAGAGATTTGAGACACAGAGCACGTATGAGCTGTCTAAAACTAACTTAGAGAAAACTTCTCTCATAGACAAGTACACAATTGCAAGGATTTGTTACATCGGATAATACTTGAATATCCAAAGTGAAATGTCTCCAGATCAAAATAACTGTTTTATCATGAAAAAATGTATGGAACGGTGCGTACTTCTGTGTGGACAAGAAATTTATTTTCCACTTTCCAACCTTTCCAGAGCCTTGTTGACTTGCAGTTCTAGCAGGTGAATAAATAATGACCTGCAGATGCAATGTTCAAAATTTCCAGTGAAAGTTAGTCTATCCTCAGATCCACTAAACTGTCCAAGAAAAGAATAAACCATCTCTGTTGAAGAACTCTAGGTAAGACCTATATACTTCTTTGGATGAAAAAGGAGGTATAAGTAAATACTATAACAGAAATCCCGATAGTCATCTGGAAGAATAAGAACAGTAATTTCCGTAAAACAATAATGAATTGCATCGTATCCAAATCTGATTTACACTCAAAAATACCAAAGCTAGAAAGATATACGACAGCCCAGCATCTCAATTCTCCCCCTTTTCTTCTAGAAAAAGGAAGAAATAAAGAACAAATAGGAAAAAGTTGCAAGCCATAGAAAGCAACCATACTAAGCGCTTCATTTGCTTACTTCTAGGAAACATTTTGTTCTCTAATATGTTCTTGTAAAGCTTCCTGATCCACATTATAGAAGGGAACAATTTGCATTTCTATTATACTTTTCTATTAAAGACTCCAAGGCAATCTGAAGTATTTTGGTTCTCAAGCTTTGTTTGTAATGAAAACATGATTGCTTTAGTGAGAACAACAAAATTCCAAATGGAACTGAGCTAATAGAAATAAATGAAAAATTCTAAATCTTTTCTACCTATTTTATTTCCAGTCAACAATGTTTGCTTTTACGGGCGTGTAGACGAGTGGAAATGCATTGTGTCAATCAATCAAAGGATTAGCGGTCAATTTTCAATTAGGAATTATGGGAGAATCTGATCATAAAAAACAAGTCAACATTTTTCTTCACAATGAAACATAAATATCTCCGTGTTAGGTTCATCTAGAATTAACATCACAGCGGACCCTGTTGAGATAATGAACTCTCATGGTTCATCTCAGAAGAAGAATGAAGAAGAAAGTCAGAAGAAGAATGAGGAAGAAACTGTATACGGTCGAAATAGATTTCGGCCTCCATACGTTTGATCGACTTCGAATGGTAAGCGATCGAAGTGAGAGCTCGATACGAGTTCCGACGATAGTACAAACAAGCCTCGAGCTCCAAGACCGATCGAGGAATCGGCTCAGTATCATTATCAAGCCCATGACCAAATCGAACCGCAAGGCAACGAGAAGGTTGTCGGAGATGCACAGACCGATTGGCACTCACCCCGAATGTCGAACTCGAACTCAAGGCCGAGGGCTCGACCCAATACCGAGCTCGAGCCGGTATCGAGTTCGGAGACAAGAGCCGTTGCAACCGCACTAGGGGAGAGAATCTTGGCAGGAATCGAGGAAGAGACAATTAATCATGGGTTTTCCACTGTATATTTTTTATTATAAATAAAGTAAGATCCCTCTACTATAAATGGGGAATCACTGTAAGCACGGGGGGCGGACAGATTGTAACAAAATATTTTCTTCTCATATTGAAAGATATCCCCTTGTGTTTATTTCCCTTTATCTATTCGTTCTTCTTATCACTATTCTCATTCTCATAGTCAAGAATACACGTATTTCTATTTCTCTATGCGATTTGTATCAAATTATATCACATATCCTTAGAACCATACACAAATTTAACTCTATCCAATTTTTCGGGTAAACAGTTTGGCGCCCACCGTGGGGCTAAG